TCTAGTAATATTTTCCAGCAATATTCCAGTGTATTTTCTAGTAATTTAAATAATCATTACTTCCATAGTTTTAAGTGGCAGAAATAGTATAATACATTAAATACATATGCAGCGAATATAGCAAAACAACAGCAATATATTTACAGAAGAATACAATACGCATTTCGATATATGCTTTCTTGAGAAACCATTTATATTTTCTTAGAAATACATAATGCGTATTATGAGTGTGCATGCACGGATATCCAACGTGATAAATTTTCTTTCAGTTTTTTTTATTCATACTATCTTCTTTTTATTGTATAATAAAATTTGTTAGCAATATGTTACAATGTTTCGCGTAATATAATTCGAATGTGTTTTTTTGATGTCTCAAATATGTCCTGAGCTTAAGGGGATTTATCTACGAATAATTTTTGCAGATGCGAACTACCGTATCTCTCGAAATGTCGGTGTATAATGCATAATCGGTATAAGTCGACCGAGATCGGATCTCTTGGTCATCTTTCTCAGATTAAACAGCCTGTAAAGGAAGACCGACGTAAGCTCATTGTTTCACGGTCGAAATAAGAAAGTAGTAATGAGCAACATATGGAGAAAGTGGTTTATTTATCGCGAAAACTATTGAAATTTTTACAACTGTTATTTTTACTATATCGCATGTATCTTTCTTCGCATCGTGCCATGTTTTTTTGGATTTTAATGTAGACTTTTATATGCGTCATATACTATGTAACTCTTTCGATAGATTTTGCATAACTTTTTCTACATACTACATAATGCACATATTTGGATAAATAATATCAGAGAATGATGATACTCCTGTTGTGCAGATTTCTCGAAAACATTCCGCGATCTGTATTCTTAATTCACCCGTTTATGTAGCGTTGTGTTGACAAAACTTGTGATTATTTTCTATGTTGAATGCCGAGGAAAAAACAAAAAAATATACAAAATAGAATAATATATTGAAAAATATACAAAATATATAATAATATTTAAAGAAAAATTGAATTAATACAGTACAGTACAATAATTTGCTCGCAACAATCGTGCGAATACCTGTGTGCTTTGTGATTTGACCGCCATATTTAACGCCCTCTTATAAATTGTTCAAAACAGAAAATACCGAAGCAACACAATATCTCTCGGCGATGATGCCGCGCGACCACTTCAATGGTACCGATAAATACAAAGTTTGCGGGAGCAACGACGGCGACAATGGTGGCGGCGGCTCGCGCTCTCGGTTTCATCGTGGTATCTCGAACGGCTTAATGGTGCCGTTAACTGCCGTATTATTTAACGTGAATTTATGCATTGGAGTCGACCGATTAAAATGCCACCACGGTTAGGGGAAGAACAGTAGCTGCTGTGCCGCTGTGCGTTCGAAAGAGGAGAGGAGAGGACGCAGACGTTGGTCGCCGTATCTCGTGCTCTTAATCCCTCGTTATAGCCCGCTCTGATAAACAGTCACGGCCGACAGAACGGCGGCGTAAAGGATCGTCGCCGGTAAAAAATACGGGAAACGATTACGACGGCGTTACCTCGGCGTTACATCGGCGACGTATGAGCCCTGTCGTGATCCGACTTAATGCGCATATATTTTGTTTCCGACGACAGTTATGCCGGGACTAAGAATGTCAGTGTCCGTACACTGTGAATGTTTGGTTTCTTTGACGGATCGCGTGAAAAAATTCGTCATTCATGCGACGTAAAGCTGCAATCGCACTCGATGCGACATAAACATTGATATCATGTTGCAGCATTGCTCAACGATCAGAAATTCCAAATATACCTATATAGAAGTACTTGTAAATCTTTTACAAGTTATCTCTCCCTTCCTTCAACGCAATTTTTTCCGCGTAACGTCTGTGTAGCGAGAAGCTCTTGTTAAAAAAATGCAATACAGCCATATTAAAGCTAAAAAATTGAATAATTCTAAGATATCTGTCATACAAACTATATTATTATGTTGCTAGTAGTATAGTTAGACCGATTATAAGCCTGGGGCAATGAGGGTGGTGCGGGGGAGGAGGGGTATCAGGTTACACAAGTCAACAATTGCAAAATGCAAAGTCAGCAGTTTTCATGGTGGTGGGGAATGACCGAAGAGTACAGATGCTTTTTTTGCAAAATTAGCAGAAGTGGGGGGGGGGTATCAGGTTACACAGGTCCACAATAACAAAATGCAAAATCAGCGGGGAGAGGGAAGGGGGGGGGGAGGTAAAAAAATTCAGCATCATCAAGAGAATGATCAGAGAGCACAGATGCTTTTTTTGCAAAGTTGTAAATTTCTTAAAATGCCGCCGCAAAATGGCGTTAAAAATGCTGACGCAATATTTTCATCGAAAATCATGGCAACATTTCAAGAAATAAGCATTTAAAAAAATTTGCAACCTTGCAAAAAAGCATCGATGCTCTTCGGTCATTTCCTTGCTGATGCTGAATTTTTTATCCCTCCTCCCCCCCCCCTTCCGCATGAAACAAATTGATTTTGCATTTTGCTATTGTGGACTTGTGTAACCTGATATCCCCCACTTCTGCTGATACTGTTGCTACATACAAACACAAAATGTGTGATATTTCTTACAGAAAATGAAAATTATTTATAAAATTGTTTAAATTAAAGTATTAGGCCACATTGCGTTATTTCAAAGATGCCAAGTATAAGTAAGTAAAAGAAATATCAGATAATTTCTTTTATAATAAAAACGAAAAATGCTTTAGAAATCAATTTTTTGTTTTCTTCGTAATACAGCAATCCTTTGAAATGTGAAGAGCGTGGAAATTGCAAACGATGTCTAAGTTTCTTATTACCTGAAGATTGCGGAAGTGTGTGTGCAGAAATCACATTCAAGGGTCGGGAGTTTTCCAGAAACGCGACGAAGGAGAGAGATCCCTGGCACGCGGAGAAACGGAATAATTCTATGCGCTCGCGATGCATACGCAAATGGCTGTTAGCGGGGGAGGCGGGGGGGAGTGTCGGAGGGAGATAGAGAGAGGAGAGAGAGAGGGGAGGGAAATAGAACGATGAGACGAGAGGATAGATAAAGATGGCAATCGGGGAACGGTCCCGTGCATCATCCACGTCACGATCGCTGCCAATAGGATCTTGGATATCAGGTGATGCTATTGGGGATTTGCATCTCCTGGCCGCACCGAATGCACAAGAGAGGTGAGAAGGTTCTCATCCCCGAGTTGGCTGGCGCGACGAGAATGATAGGAAATCCGGTTGCACTGTATATATAGGTGAGTAAGGAGGACACGGACAGTGTGCACATAGGGTGCTTCTAAATTAAGCCATACCGGTTAAGTGTAATCCTTTATCGATTTAAATAACCGATTCTTCTTTCGAAATTTCTATTCAAACCCCAATTATCATGACATTTCCCCGATAGAGTGAAATCTTTTGAACTCATTGCTGTACGAGTAAAGTGGAAAACAGCCAAGTCTTGAGGATTATTCCTCTATGGATCTTGTCATTTTAATGACGTTTATTCATAAAGAGACGTATCAAAGTATTTAAGTCTCAAAGCTTAACAAACTTTATGCCAATACTAAAGATTATCGCTCAAATTTTGGATACGAAGAAGACTTGGCGAAGAAATAGCTCGCCGAGCTTGAACGGTATTTAATTTGAGACTACCCTGTAGATTGTGGCGGGCGCGAGAAAGAGACGCGGCTAGATAGCTAGATAGTGGAAACGGGAGAAACGAAGAGAAACGGACATGGTCGATGTGTAACCCGGCTGGCTGGCTGGCTGGCTGGCTGACTGGCTGGCTGGCTGGCTGGCTGGCTGGCTGGCTGGCTGGCTGGCTGGCTGGCTGGCTGGTTGGCTGGCTGGTTCGGCTGACTGGATCAACCGGGGACCGTCTAGCTTGCGTCTACTCCGCCGCACAAGCCAGCCCGGCATTATCTATACGTCTAGACACCCCTGCGCCACCGAGAGAAGACCATAGCGGTTTGGCGCTCCGCTTGTAATTTACAGTGCGCCCCGTCGTGTCTCTACACCCACGAATTCCCTCTCTCCTTCTCTCCGTCACTCTCTGCTTCCCTTTGCCTCTTTCGCGTTCCTGACGGTGACTAAGATTGTGCTTACATGTTCGTGCACTTAAGTTTTTCCACACGTCTTCTTTACCTTTCTCTATTTTTTAACGTCTCTTCATTTGTCTGCTATCCAATACTGGCTTAAATGTGACTGTGAGATCGAAAATTCATCGACATTATCGTAATTTTTGTTGCCAAATAAAAAGATCGTTTTTCTGATAAGAGGATTTGTTGGAAACGCGATAAAGACGAAATAGTTGCATTCAATGACACGATGCTTCAACTAATATTTCATAGATTTACGGTTATTGTGCTTTCGTCACCAGTCATTTGTATCAAAATAAAATCGGTGGAAATCTCACATGTGACTACTTGTTCAGTTATTTCTCTTCCCACAACTAAATTTTTATGTAGCTATTCTATAGTTGTTAGAGAAAAAGCTGTTTTAATCCTGCCACTAAATAAAAACAAACTCCGCTCAAAGTACGAAATATGCGTCTGCGGCTTGAAAAGCGAAGCAAAGTTTTCAATCGATTTCCGCTAAATAAGAGACGCGATAACCGCTTTAATTTAAAATCGTCAGTATCGCATTCGCATTCGTATTCGCATTCTAATTCATTCTGACAGTCGAAATAGTAATAAATCGCGTGGAGACCACATACTGTGCTATTTTTTTCAAGATTTTTATTATGTATAACTGAACAGATTAATTGATACAAATTTATCGTAATTTTCTGATATATCGCACAGTTTCTTGCGATGATCCTTTTACAAATTTAACCAAACAAATGATGAATTGCAAAAAAAGAAACGGATATAATTAGAAGTCTACATATATACTATTTTACTTGTAAAGATTCACTCATTTGAGTGTGTATAGATATATACAATCATATACCTTGTATCAATACAAAAGTGTAAAAAATATATGTAAAGACGGTTGAAAAATTCGAATGTCGTTTAAGGCTGTGTTCCGAAATTCACTGCCAGTACTGAAAATCTACAATATACGTAACGTAAATTACAGATTTCCAGTACTGGCGGTCAATTTCGGAACGCAGCCTAAATATCTTAAATGTAAACTATAATAACAATAGAAAAATCCTATTTACTCTGGATACGAATCGAGAATTTCAATATTACCGCGCGATAGCTATAGTAACAACCTAACGTATCGAACAAACCGCGTGTATACTTTGGTCAGATTCGTTACTCACGATTATATTAGTCGTGCGAAAAAATATTGAAATGTCTGAAGAAAAACAAATTAAGGAGAGTAAAAAAGTGACTGTGTGTGAGATTCCTGTAAAATGTGATAACTTTAAAAGCGAAGTGGCTGTTGATAATATTCGGTAATACATTTACATATTGTAATTATAACATATATATATTTTAATTCCAATTCAGAACATTCAGAACATTAATAAACTTATTTTTATTTCCGGATACATCAACAAATCAATTATTTTATTATTTCAGCAAAGAAGTAAACTTTCTCGAAAGCATGTCGCAACAATCTTGGCCGCACAAGTACAAATATCTAACTGGGCAATTTTTTAGCGAGGTATATTTTAAAAGTTTCGCTTGACCCGAGTACACGGTAGAAAAAAAAGCGTACAAACTATTAATGAATTTCAATATGTCCGCCCTGTCACTGACCGTAGGTGTTAGCGGTAGAATGCAAAAGAGTGGGATTTCCGGTGGATACTTTTGAACGTGACCTGCCGGAAGACACGATCGAACGTTCACCGATTCTTTTGAAACCTTCACCGGCCTTCCCCAAAACGACATTCGCCGAGATTGGACATCGCTCGTCTCGCGCGGAATATAATTTAGAATTTGCTGGCCGTTTATACATCTCGCCAAAGTGGACGATCGAGCCTTCCACGGATTCTCCGGAATTACGCGTCACACAACAAAAATTTATTTTTTTGGGTTGATAATTTTAACCATTTGCATACATAATGTGTCAATACGTATCTAAAAATGAATATAATACCTCCTAAAAATAAACAAACACATACACATCACACATATCAGTACAATATTCTTACCTGGTGGTGATGATTAATTATTGCACTTTGGCGAGAAGATAATCTGAAAACGAATTGATGAATCTTCAACGATTTCAAGCGAGGCAAGAACGAAACAAAATGGCTGATATTATAAACACAATATATATTACAATTAGCGTTTTCGAGTGAACGGATTTTACTATTTTACTATAAATTCAAATCTTTTATTGGCAGAGACAATGCAATGACGTCATTAATCAACCTTGAGTCGATCAAAATCCGTTCACTCGAAAATGATTGTACATAGTATTTAAAATGTTACGTAGATATTTGACATTTTACGCGAAACATTTGCAATAATGTTTTGTATTCATGAATTACAATCAATATATTATGATAAATACGAATAAATGCACAAAATGGCAAAATATTGGTGACAAGTATGAAGCAGTTTAAATGCGACTCTGTAATTGCCACAATACGTTCTGAAATTAATTTTTGTTCGAAATTATCAAAGAACTTGCAATTTTCCAAATGCGTCAACATAATCCAAAATAGCAAAGCAATAGTAATTACTCTATGTAGAAATAACGTTGAATGGTGTACATACCTATGACAATTATTATGCATCAGAGGCTTGATTTTTCAATTAAAAAAAAAAGTATGTGTGTAATCAATCAGAAACTCAGTGTAGGCGAAAAAATGTTCATATTAAGCTTCTGATTATGCGCATATGTTTTTCTTGCGGATAAATTGGAGAATAGACCCCCAGTACTTTCGATGTGCTTCGGAGAGGAAATAACTTAACCTAACCTCTAACATTTGAAAATAATTTCAATGCGACTTTGTGTGTACAAAATTCGAGTTTCTAATATTAGAATTGCGGTTATGCACAATCCTCATAAAAAAACCTTTCCAAAAAATTGTTTTTTTAAAAAAAGTTTTCCTCATAAAAAACCTTTTCAAAGAACTGTACTTTCAAAAATATATTATATTAAAAAAAAGTTTTTCTTACAAAAAACCTTTCCAAAAAAAGTTGTATATATCAT